AAAGGTGTCATAAGGAGGAGGGAGAAAACTTGTTTATCTTGGCCTCTGGGAATAGAACAAGAAGCAATGGGCTTAGACTGCAGTAAGGGAGGTTTAGGTTGGACAGTCGGAAAAACTTCCTAACTGTCAGGGTGGTCAAACACTGGAATAAATTACCCAGGGAGGTTGTGGAATCCCCATCTCTGGAGATATTTAAGAATAGGTTAGATAAATGTCTATCAGGGATGGTCTAGACCGTATTTGGTTCTGCCATGAGGGCAGGGGACTGGACTCGATGACCTCTCAAGGTCTCTTCCATTCCTTGTAGTCTATGATTCTAGGATTTCATGGTTGAGAGGCTGGGACTTTGAAATGTAGACCTATATCGTTACCTGGAAGAAGATAGGAACTGTAGTTGTCTATGTTTATGTACAGCTTGCTAGAGGTTAAGGGAGCAAACGCATGGTTTCTTCTAGGACTGTTTTCTGTTAATTCGGAGATCCAAAGGGAATATTATTAGATAAGTCTTGGGTATAAGAAGACATTTTCAGTATGCCTTTTTAAGGTTTGTTGTTGCAGGCCAAATGATGGATGAAGCCGGGTAAAATGGTAAGAGGCAATTTATTCGGTTACAGCATTCAGACCACTGGTTCCCATTCGCTTCGCAACCAACGAAGTGATCCCTGACTTAAGGTTACAGAATCTTTTATCCCTCCCCTCCCCTGGGTATCCGCCCTATCCCTTTCCTTCGAATCATCCTTTTGTGTCCTAATAAGGTGAAGATTATCCCCTCGGCCTATCAGATTGGGCCAAGTGCACCCTACCTCTTTACTTCCTAATATGGAGAGGCTACCTTTTCCTAGTCCCTGTCTATTGCTTCCTTATATGGTGCATTTTAAAGCCTTATTTTCCTTGTGGAAGATTGGGGAACTAGATGGCCTAACTTATGGTAAGGCCCCAAATTAGGGAATTTTGTGGCTTGGTCTATGAGAGGATGCTACTGCTGAGGTAATCCCATGTATTGCCTCCTTTCCTGTTACAGAGGGGCCCCCCTCATGCAGCTGAGGGTCGTCTTGCTTCCAAGCGGGGGTTTCTGCAGAGAATTATGAAGGCAGGCTCTTATGCCTGGATCTTGCCTTCAGCTCCCTGAAGTCCAGATCCAGCACTAAGACCCCCTTTCTTCCCGCACCCACATTTGTGTTGCCCAGGAAATGTCTAAAGAGCTTTTGGGGATCTGACCTTTCTTCTTCAGATCTGCCTAAATCTGGAAGAGATCCCAGAAGATTGGAAAAGGGCAAATCTAGCATCTTAACTTCTGTCAAGAAAGATAATGGAGCAAATAATTAAGGAATTCCTCTACAAACATCTGGAAAATAATAAAGTGATGGGTAACAGCCAGCATGAATTTGAAAAGAACAAATCATGTCAAACCAATCTAATAGTTTTCTTTAATAGGACAAGTCTTGTTAATAAAAGAAAAGTGGTACATGTGGTATACATAGACTTTAGTATTTACACATGTGGTATGTATACAGAGATTTAAGTCTGTGTATCTGTGGTATACATAAGCTTTAGTATGTATACATTTGGAATACATGTGGTATACATAGCATTTGATATAGTCCACATGACCTTATCCATAAAGTAGGGAAATAAAACTACTATAAGGTAGGTGCATAACTGGCCAGACAACAATTCTCAAGAGTAGTTATTAATGGTTCACAGTCATACTGGAAGGGCATAACAAATGGTGTTGTGGAGGATTCAGTTTTAGGACCAGTTCTGTTCAATATTTTCATCACTGATGTAGATATTAGCAAAGCATGCTCATTAAATTTGCAAAAGTTGCCAAGCATGGAGGGGTTGCAAGCATTTTGGAGGATAGCGTCATAATTCCAAATGATCTGGACAAACCAGAGGAATGGTCTGAGGGAAACAGGATGAAGTTTAAAGAGGATAAATGCAAAGTGCTCCACTTCGGAAATCCTGAAGAAAGGGATTTAGGAGTCATAGTGGATGACAACTTAAACATGAATCAACAGGGTGACACTGTTGCAAAAAAAGCAGACATCGTTCTGGGATGCAATAATAGGATGTACTGTGAGCAAGACAGGAGAAGTCATTCTTCCGCTCTACTCTGTGCTGATTAGGCCTCAGTAAGAGGATTGTGTCCAGTTCTGGGCACCACGTTTCAAGAAAGATATGGAGAAATTGGACTCCAGATAACAGCATCAAAAGGATTAAAGGACTAGAAAACATGGAAGAACTGGGTTCATTTGGTATGGAAAAGAGAAGAATTAGATAGGACAGGATAGCAGCTTTCACGTAACTAAAATTGTGTAACAATGAGGAGGGAGAAAAATTGTTCTCCTTAGCCTCTGAGGACAGCACATGAAGCAATGGGCTACAACTGCAACAAGGAGATTTAGGATGGACATTGGAAAAAACCCCTTCCTATCTATCAGGGTGGTTAAACACTGGAATAAATTGCCTAGGGAGGTTGTGGAATCTCCACCACTGGAGATATTTAAGAGCAGGTCAGACAGTTTCTCAGGGATGATCTAGATAGTTCTTGGTCCTGCCAAGAGAGCAGAGGGATGGAATCGATAATCTCTTGGGGTCCACTCCAAAGCTATGATTCATCAAGGGAAGGTTGAGTCATAATACCGTGATATCCAGGGACAGATTGGACCATACTGATATTGAATATTTTGATATGGGACTATTATCTATGAACTAATTGCGAAAGAACTCTACGCAGCTCTGAAACCCAATATCTGTGCTCTGAAACTAACTTAAGAACTCTACTCATCCAGTATGACCTTTTCACCAATAATTCCGGGTCTTCTCTCTCTCTCTTTCTCTTCATTTTTAATAAATCTCACTTTAAATAGCAAGAATTGTGTGTATGCATGTATTTGGTGAAGACATGAAATAGTCATTGACCTACGAGATGATGTGTCTGCTCTTTGGCCTTGGCAGAACTTCGACGAACAAGATTTTCAGCAATAAACACTGCAGAAGAGGTCCCCGGATTCATATAAACACGGTCCTAATCCTGCACACCATCCCCTACCACCGTGAACAAAAGAACATAAGAAGGGTTAGTAGAACTGTATCAGTATCTACTGAGTTAGTAGAACTGTATCAGTATCTTGACTTCCAACAGTGGCCAGTGCAAGGTGCTTCAGAAGGAAGGAGCAGAAGAAACAATCAGCCAGTGAGTCATCCCCCATCACCCATTTCAAGCTTCTGGCAAACACAGTAAGTCATCTCGTCCATGCCCATCCTTGCCAATAGCGATTGACAGACCCCTCTATGAATGTAGCTATCCCTTTTTGTAGCCCGTTGATAGTACTGGCCTACAGAGCATGCTCTGGCAAAGACGTCCACAAGTTGGCTTTATGTTGTGTGAATAATTTATTTCATTAGGTGAGCCCTAGTCCACATGATATCAGAACACATTTTTGTTTACTTTCTCCACTCATCATGATTGCATTGACCTCCCTCATGACCCCTTTAGACATCCCTTGTCCAAGACGAGAAGTCCCCATCTGATTAATCACTCATTTTATGCAAGTCGAGTCATGTGAATAATTACTTTGGTTTGGTTTTACACCATTGACTGATTATTTCTGTAAGGCCGTCCCTACTTTGTATCTTATAAGAAGGAGTAAATGACACTTCCTCATTTACTTATTCAAAACCCATTACCATTTCCTAGATCTCTCTCATACTCCCATTGGTCTTTCCTTTCCTAAGCTGAAAAGTCCCAGGTTTAATAATACCTCATTTTAAGCCATCTGTTCCAGTCCTCTAATATTTTTGGTTTCTCTTTTCTGTCACTTGTCTCCTCTGCTTTTTTTTTGAAGATGTGGTGACCCATTGTGCATGGAATATGTGGGCATAATATAGATTTCTGCAGAGACAATTTAGTCTACAGAAGAGAAGAGAGAGGGGGGATTTCATAGCAGCCTTCAACTTCCTGAAGAGAGGTTCCAGACAGGATGGAGAGAGGCTGTTCTCAGTGGTGATGGATAGCAGAACAAGGAGTAATGGTCTCAAGTTGCAGTGAGGAAGATCTAGGCTGGATATTACTACAAACTATTTCCCTAGGAGGATGGGGAAGCACTGGGATCAATCTCCTGAAGAGGTAGTGGAATCTCCATCCCTAGAGTTTTTTAAGTCTTGACCTGACAAAGCCCTGGCTGGGTTGAATTAGTTGGATTTAGTTCTGCCTTGGGCAGGAGGCTGGACGTGATGACCTTCTGGGGTCTCTTCCAGGTCTATGATTCTATGATTCTAAAGAAGGAGAGAGTAAAAAGACTGTCTTTTCAGACTCAAAAAGAGATTACTTGGTGGATATAACAAGGACTAGCTTGTGGAAATAGAAAGCCATTCACTCAGCTCCAAGCATGTCTTTCCTCTACCAAATTATTGGAGACAGCTGTCCTTAGTGTGTCACAGTATGGACCAATGTATGGAGATCTGGTAGCCCCTTCTCAAAAAATATGCATTGTAGGAAAGGAAATGTTAGTGAAAAGTGAAATGAAAAGAATTAGGTGTATGGAACAGCACCTACAGGAGGGGAGATTAAAAGATTGTGTCATTTCCACTTTGAAAAGACGTGATTGGGAGGATATGAGGTCAGGAGGTCTATGAAGTCATGACGGTTGTGTAAAAATGGAACAAGAAATATTTTTAATTCCTTCCCATAACACATCGGGGGTCACCCAATCAATAGGAGGAGGATTTCAAACAAAGAGCATAAGATTTTTCTTCACAGTCAGCGTGTGGAAACGCTTTGCCAAAGTGTGATGTACAATATCAAGCAATATGAAAGGAGGCAACTCAATGACTTGTACCTAGTCCGATCCCCCAATTTCTCATGCTGACCCTGTAACGTCAGGTCATGAAAGGACCCAGAATTTGTCTGACTGTCCAGGAAACGATTCTGGAAAGAGGGCTCAGCATCGTTTCACCAGTCAGCTCAGTCAGACTCTGAGCACCAGGAGTGAACATTAGGCCCTTTTCTGAGTCACTATCTGCAACAGCCTGTCCCGGATTTGCTTTGTCCTCACCCCATAGATGATCGGGTGTAGAATGGGGGGCACCAGAAGGTACATATTGGACATGAGGCTGAGCACAGGCAGGGGTACATAAGAAGCTATCCTCTGCATGAGGGAGACAAAGAGATCTGGGATGTACAAGGCTGAGAGGGCGCACAGATGAGACCCACAGGTCCCAAATGCCTTGAGCCGAGCGTCCTTTGTGGGCAGTCGGAAGATGGCCCTGAGGATCTGGGTGTACGACAAAGCGATTAAAAACCCATCCACACAGGGCACAATGAATGTCACAGAGACGCTGTAGTAACTACTGGGACGGATGTCGGCACAGGCCAGAGACACCACAGAAAAGTGCTTGCAGTACGAGTGGGGGATGATGTTGCTTCTGCAGTATGGCCACCGACTCCCCATGATGGGAATGGGAAGTATGATCATGAAGCCACGCAGCACCGCCGCCAAGCAGATCTTGGCTACAGTGGAATTTGTCAGGATGGTGGAATGTCTCAGGGGGTCGCAGATGGCCACGTAGCGATCAAAAGCCATGGCCACAAAGATCCCAGACTCTATCACTAAAGAGCAGTGAATGAGGTACAGTTGTGTGAAGCAAGCACCAAAAGCGATCTCTCTAGACTTGAACCAGAAGAAGCTCAGTGTTTTAGGCACAATGGTCGTGGACAGGACGAGGTCAGTGACAGCCAGTATGCAGAGGAAATAGTACATGGGCTCATGGAGGCTTGCCTCCCTCTTCACGATGTATAGAATGGTGATGTTCTCTAAGATGGTTATAACGTACAGGAAGCAGAAGGCGATGGAGATCCATCCATGGGCCGCCTCCAGGCCAGGGATGCCCAGCAGGATGAAGACGGAGGGGTTGGTGAAATCGGTAGTGTTAGAATCTGACATGGAGTCCGGGAGCTGGAGTCTCCTTCAAGTACCTTATATTCCCCTCACTTCCGGTATGTGCCCAGTGTCCCAGGTGATGGTCGGAGTACAAATACCTGGATGAAGACACAATATCAATATGAGACACTCCATGCACTACAGGAGAATGTTCTCATGGGGGAAGCAGGTTGGTCTCTCCTCACCCACTGAAAATGATATTTTTGTTATTCAAACGTTGGAATTAAGATCAGCTAAACCTACTAAGGCCCTGACCATATTTTCTGGAGCTCCATGTGTCTGTAATTCCAAGTCCCTCGTAAGCACCAGCAGATAACAACTGTTTACCTAGTGGTTCTCCTTCATTGTTCCTCAATGCAATAAACCGAAACTGCAGAGCCCTGCTGTGGAAAGTCCCCCATTAACTGACAAGCTCAGCATCGGAGAGTGGAAAATAATGAAAAGACTTTTACGAAGACATGTTCCAAGGGACACATCCCAGCTAGAGTCCACCCCAAAGAGAAGAGCTGATTTCATTGACAGCGGCTTCATGGACCCACCTGCTCTGTCACTGCAGTGGTCAAAACCAAGAGACTCTTTGGATACCTAGGGAATGGGATGCAGAATAACACACTCTGGGCATATATGTAAGGGTGTAGCAGACAGAAACGGTGTCGGAGACGGGCTCTTAGAGTCGGGGTGGTTGCCAAAGTAGAACAGCCTGAAAACACTGGCACTGTTGAGTTGAAAGAAGATCTAATGGACACGTACACGACTGAGGAAACAAAAATAATGGAACTTCCGCCTTTCAAATGGACAAAGAGAGAAATGTCTCCCCCTCCCCCCAGTACAATATCTGTTGACCAGGCCTGGGCAAAATATGGCCCATGGGCTGGATCCAGCCATCTGACCCAGGAGATCCAGTCAGCAAATGCTGCAGGGAGCCCAAGTCAGGCTTCCTGTTTACTTCATCCCACTCGCACACCCCATAGAAACATGGATGTGGGGCGGGTTTTCTTTTAAAACTGTGAGTCCGGAAGGGGTGGGGGAAACCTTTGAGGCTGTTCCCACCCCCAGCACATTCCCATTGGCCAATTCTGGCCAATGGGAGCTCCTGTTTCAATAACAGGCAGCCAGGAAGCACAAGCAGCTCCTGAGCACATGGCTGCAGCCAGTGTGGGGGTAGGGCAGAAAGGGAGACTGAGAAGTCTCCTGGCCATATCCTGCATCTGGTACCTCAGCCCCTCCCATCCCCAACCCTCTGCCCCACACTACACATACCCAAATACTCTGCCCCGCCCTCCTGTACCCATCTCCCTTCCCATATCCAGATCCCCAACCTCCTGTCCCAGATTAGAAGCTCCTCCTGCGCTAGCTCACAACCCAAATCCCTTCATCCCCTCCTGTGTGGCCGCTGGCCACCTTAGAAATCCTTGGAGTGGCCACCTTTGCAATAGACGGTGCTCTAGAAATGCGAGCTCCCCAACGCTGTACTAATGGATGAGTAAAAGAGATTGAGAGGAAACATTTTGACCAGGGGTGAGGAATCTTCTTTGGGTTGGGGGCTGCTGGCCCACAGAAAAATCATTCGGGACGGAGGCAGTGCGGGCTGCAGAGTCAGTGCGGGCTCCCCAAGGCTGTGGGGAGAAGCCTGGAGCCCAGGGTGGGGGGGGGGGAAGAGCCAGGCAAGCTGGGGTCACATCTGGCCTCTGGGCCTTAGATCCCCACTCCGATTGAGAGAGAAGAATGGGAATGCATACTGAGATTTCTTCACAGGAATTTCTGAGACGGCTCCAATTCACGATTCCTCAGTGAAGCAAAGTGAACAACTTTGGCTTAAAATGCAGGTCAGTGGGAAATGGAAGGCAGCTAATGGTAGGGGGTGGAGAGGAGGAAAGTGACACATATCAGAGGAATGGGAAATATTGATCACAAGAAAAAGAAACGGGATGTTATGATAAGGGACGTTAAAGAAAGCTGGGAAAAATCTTAGCAGAGACGTGTATCACACCAAGTGGGCTAGGAACTATATTAAAAAGAAAATGAACCCTAGCAGAAGTTTAGAATGATCCTCAGCCAGAGAAAGAAAAGCTGTAAATGTTGCTGAAAACCTAAATGTGATCAATCTATTTCTTTGTTTTGCAAGGGGAAGGAAGCTGTATGAGACACAGCTAGCAGATGAGGAGATGAAATATTTTCCCGCCCATCAGCATCCAAAGGGGCTATTAACCACGTCTGCAGGAGAACTTAGAGTTCTCAACAGGAGTCACAAATGAACAAATCAATCTCACAGCCCACGTGGAAGAAGAGGAGGCAGTCAGGAAACAGAAGAGACAAAACAAAAAAAACGGGATAGGGGGAGCAATACTGGGATAAACATCACGTCTATAAAATTGGAATTTTCAAAAAGTTTTCCCAAGGTTAGGGAACAATGGAAAGGTTGTTATGGAATCAATTGAAAATGAATTTCTAGGATTATAATGAATGCCAGACAACCACAGGGTTTTTGGAGACTCCATCTTGTCAAATCAATCTGATTTCATTCTTGAAGGAGAGCACACATGTGGTTGCTCAAGAGAACTGTTCAGCTGCAATCGACTTTGATTTCACTGAGGCATGTGATTTAGTACTGGGAACGAGACCTGTTAAATATGAACCCTACACAACAGCAGTAAGCAAGTGGCACACAGACTCAGCCCTCGCCGGCTGGCAGATCGGCCAATGTGGATGTTTACAGTGGGGGATCTTGAGAGCTCACCTTGAACCCTGAGAAACTTTGATATTTTCATGAATGACCTGGAAGTAAATAAAGAACCCGGGCACAAAACTGTCAGCCTTGCCTCATAAAGAGCCCTCTTGTGAGGTGGGAACTGCCACCCTGATTCTGGGACAATAACGATGGATTTGACTCTATGGAAAGATTGTGTTGGCATGAGCCGTGTTCCCCAAACCCTTTTGCCTCTGCACAAGGCACTGGAGGAACGGATTAAGTCCAGGGTCACACCCGGGAGTTACTTTTTACAAATGATATTGAAATATTGGGCAGCTGCAGAAAACAGCCACAAAATCAATGGGAGGTGGAAGATGATGCCTGGCTGAGAGACACTTAACTGACGACCAAGCCAAGAATTTCACTGGGAGAGACACAGGGGCCCTCATCCGAAAAGCTGAGTGAGGGCAGTGGACTGAAAGTTGAAGTCGGACACATTCCTGAGGGAAATAAGGGCCGAAACTTTAGCTCTGAGGGTGAGTAACTTCTGGGACACACCACCAATGGGAGATGCTTCAGCTCCCCATCTCTGCAGACCCAGATGGGATGCGTCTGCCTGAGGGCTCGACTAGACATGTGAGGCACAGAGGATCAGCTATAGCTCTGTAGAGTAAATACAACCAACACTGACTGCAGGGCTCCCTTCACCATAGGTAGCCCACCCCGCCCCAGAGATGGTGGCTAAAATTGGGTAAAGGATTTTTCCATTAATCTCGTGCTGCCTGTCCAGAGGACACCCACTACAGCTGCACCTCTGAGGCAAGTGGGCGGAGGGAGGTGGATTTTTAGCTGATGGCCAGAAGAAGAAAATGCAGTGGGGCAGGGCAGCTCTGGGTCACACTGAGTAGGCCTTGGATAAAGTACCATGTCTGGTCACAGAGCTCATTACTGGGGTACCTACCTAAAATCAATGGTGGGTGTTCTGCAGGGGGTCCAACTGGATGATTTAAAGGCTCCTGTTCACCTTCAAACCCGTGAATCGATCAATAATGAAAACAGAATCCAGCTTTTATAGTCCCTGTGTCTCACCGCACACCAACAAGGCAACATTCTTCCTTTACATGGAGGGCCAGACTATATAACATGGAGAAGAGACAAGAGCTGGCCTAATCCCTTGTTGGCCCATGGAACTTCGTTCCACATACACAATAAGGGGACTGGCTGTTGAAGGTCGCTGGAGAAACAGGCTTCACTTAAAGTAGCCTAACTCTAGTCATCTGAAGAAGTGCGTTTTGCCCACGAAAGCTCATGATCCCATCTACATAGTTTGTTAGTTGTTAAGGTGCCGCTAGACTATTTGTTGATTGTTAAAATTTTCCTGTTACAGACTTACTCGGCTCCCCTTCTGAACCTTCTGTGAGGAGAGCTTTTACAATTGCTTACAGAGTTGCCAAACTTTTAGGATGTGTCTAGACTTCATCCCTTTTTCGTAAAAGGGATGCAAATTAGACATATCGCAATTGCAAATTAAGCCTTTTCCGAAAGATCCCTTATCCCTCGTTTTAAGAGGGATAAGGGATCTTTCGGAAAAGGCTTTATTTTCCGAAAGATCCGTGTCTAGAATGGCACTTTTTTCCAGCAAAGCTCTGAGCCGGAAAAAAGCGGCAGCCATTTTTATGCTAATGAAGCAGGGGAGATTGCAATATGTCTAAATTGCATCCATTATACGAATAAGGGATGCAGTCTAGACACAGCCTTAATGTTTAGACTGTAATTTTCCATTTCCTCGTCTCTGTCTCTGGCTGACCTGTTTGTTGACAGTTTCCACCATAACCTTCAATCAAGTAGTGGATGGGTAGAAGAAAAGACGTCTTGCCCAGTTTGGAATATTTGTTCTAACTGTTCAGTGAGGATCCCTACACCTCCATGCATCACAGCACATGGATGGGAGATAACAGCACCTGCAGGCCTCAAATGCAAGAGGAGGTAGTGCCAGGCTCTGTGAATTATTCCACAGTTGGCTTACGAGGTCTTCTTCCTCCGTTCTTGCTCCAGGGAGAGTTTTGCATTAGTGGGGCCTGAGGAAAGTCTGGGTCACAGACTCAGAATTGGCCTTGTATTGTGCCTCTCTTAACGTCTTTTGTCCTGAACGATGTTTTGTGACACTGAAATTTAGCCTCCTGAGGGCTGGAGGCAACCAACCAACCTGAGGGCCCAACAGAAAGGGACATTTTGACCTGTGGTTCTAGAAAAATCTCACCTGTGGGGGAGGGTCCCTGGGATGTTTAGTAGCTCGGCAGAGGAGAAAGAACCA